GGCTTCCAAGCTGGGAGGCACTCTCAGTCAGCTGGCTAGAGCCGTCCCCCCATCTGTGACAAGCCCTGCCAGCTCGGGGTGTGATACTCAGGTGGGTGGCACGTTCCACTGATGCTGGCCAGAGCATCTGGAGAACTTTCCATTCTCGGGTCTTTTCAGAGCATAATACTATGTAATAGAAAATTAGAATTAAAGAGAGAGAAACTAATAAAATGAGTCCAAATGCATTCAGAGAAAACTGTCATGAGGGAGTAGTGCTACATTTATCCTGACAACTCATATCCCTCCTCTCCTTCACATGGCAATCACAGGGCACTGAAGCCAGCCAGCCAATTGGCTTTTTTTGCCTTTGTAAGCAGGTGCCTGAGGAGTTGAAAAGTTGGCTCTAGTTTCAGAGCTGAATTTAGATGAGATTATTTTTACATGAAGCGTGTAGGGTTATGTTGAAGTTGGATGATACAACTGTGTGAAAGGGTTCCCTCTAGAATTTCTTTGTGGTTTTTCCATGCACAATTCCTTCCCCTCTCCCCTCCTGCCCCTTCCTTCCCTCCCTCTGGTGTTTTCTGTAGTCCTTGTCACTGCCATAATCAAATACAAATTAGGTTCTCAGGTTTTAGCTCCCTTTTATTTGTCTGGGTTATTCAATGTTTCCTCACATTGTTTAGATGAAGGATGTTTCCTTTCACTTAGGAAGATTTAAAGAAAGAGGGGAGGAAAAGCTTTTGAGGTTTCACTGAGCCCATGTCAAAACTTGAAGATTACATTCTCTGTATAAACCACTGATAGTAAATGTACGTATTTCTGGTTGTACCTCACCAGCATAGCTAAGTTATCTTTTTCTTGCTTTCTGCTGCCTCTGCTGCAGTCTCTTTTCTTCTGGTCAGTGATTTCAAATCCATCATCCCCCACCTTTTTTTTTTTAATCTTTTTTTTCACTCAGCTGGATAGGTTGCTTCTGAAGCACTTCTCATACTGCAGCACAGCTTTCCTAGCTCCTCCTGGCAAGGGAATGTGCTTGCACTTCATAAAGAGAACATTGCTGTCTAATCCTATGCATGGTGGAGATCAACAGGCTGGTTATGAGTCTACTTAAAATGTAATCATGCTGATTTTGATGCTCTGTAGTTACAAAGGAGGCTTTTGCTTTCGCAGTGCAGGTGGGTGACAGCAAAATTAATACACTTCTCTCTGTTGCTGCAGTCTTCTACTGCTGGAAACTTCATTAAGTGGTGCTGAACATGGTGCACAGTGCTTTTGATTGGTCGGGAACTTCATACATCCTATTCTTATCCGAGGTGACTCCAGGGCAGGCCTCCTACTTAACTCATCAGCTGTCATTTTTTCTATATCTGCACATTTCATAATTGGTTTTGCAGTATAAATATTAAATAAATAGGGAAGAAATCTTTTCCCATTACTGACAGTAATGGACTTAAAAGTTTAAATTTTGTTTTGGAATCTTAGTTAATTTCTCTGCTTAAGTCAAATGAAAATCTGAATAAGACGCACAAATCTTTAGGCTACTATGGACTCTAAAATGTATTAGAGGTATGTGCCCTCTCATGGAGGACTAGACCGCTGTCATACTGAAATGTGCCTGCTGGAAAATTGAGTGGTTCTTGTCTGACCGACTGTATTCCTTCTGTGATATGTAAATTTCAAGTAAAAGTCTCTTTGATCGTTGGGGTAGTCTAACACATGCAGCAATTTAAATGTAAGGCAGTATAGTGGGTTTACTCAGCCTTGCCAGCCTTCACTGCTGAGGATGGTGGCAGAGTCTTGTTGCGAGCCCTTCCAATGGCTGGAAGAAATAGTGAAACGTATTAACAGGTGATACAATAGATAAAAATGTCACAAAAGTGGTCTAAAATTATATACAGAGATGTGATATACATAGAGACAATATATCTAGACCTATATATAACTACATATAGATCTACATGTGCCTATACTTTAAATAGATATAATATACATGTCATATATTAATATATATTCATATGTAATGCCCATAATACAGATAGATATAATCTGCATGTATTTATGGTTATTTATCTATAAATTATATTTGGAATTGGTTGCTAGGTGTTTTGGTGTTTGTATAATTCTCATGTTAACATTTCTACATAGAGTTGTACATATATGTACATGTTTAAGTTCAATGATTTCCCTAGATTTTTTATATATTGCTTATCACACTAGAATCTCAGTGCCCCCTAGATCATGAACTTTGATGGAAAAATAGATTAGCTCTCCAGTTTTCTTCTGAATCCCACCTTTTTTTCATTTTTTTTCTCCTCACATTATAAGAAGCAGCTGGCACATTGCTATAAAAAAGAATATCTCCAGGCACAAAAAAGAGATTTTGGGCAGTAAGACAACAGCTGCAGAAATTGCATGGACATAGGGCAAGGTCTGTCCTGTGGGAAGGCTGTGCTGTGAAGTGACATCTAGCTGTGTGAGTCAGGCTGGCGTGGAGGTGTGACAGCGGCTGGGACTGAAGGAGTCACATAAACCAAAGCATCCTCTGTCTATAATACCTAATCAGTCCCTATCATCCACGATAGTTTGGGCTGGCTATGCTAATAAAGGGTCTAGGACTTCTCATTTTTCTGAGGTTAGAGAAGTGGATTTTTCCACCATGAAGTTTCTTCCAAAGCCAGTGTAATTGAAGTGGGAGATAGCCCTAACCCTAGGAACGAAGAGTTCATGTAGCTTACCAGTATGAGTTCTTCCAGCGATTCCAGAACTGCTATCTTGTGGAGATTACTCCTCAACAAACATGTTTTGCTGTTAACGTACAATGTATTAATTCTTATTACTTACAAGAATTAGCTTGTAAACGTGCAAAACTGAAAGTGCTTAGGTTTTGCTGAGTCTGATATTCATAGGTGAGGCTTCCACATCCTGATTCACAAATTAAATAACTTAAAATATAGACTCTTTTTAGTGATAAATTTAGTTCCAATAAAGCAAGACTTCTTGAGAAAAATTATCCTGTAATGAAAATAATCGACCAATATAAGAAAAACATATATGGAGGTAAAATCATGATCATGTTGTTGAGATATGCCCATTTACAGTGGCAGGGGAGAATTTTACCCAACATGCTAAATGAGGATGTTAGGTTTGTCAGCTCTTGGATACCTTCTCTGTTCATTGATGATATTTTTGCAGCATGACTAGCAAAGATACCCAGCTTCTTTTATAGAATGGCCACCATCAAACTATGGGACAGACAATACTATTATTAATTACGCTGGTTGCTTAAACTTGTGCAGACTCAAGGTTTCTTCTTTAGCTAAATTTTGATAGTTTCATACTCCGAATGGTTTTCTTTTAAAAAACACTGGAGCAAACATACTCTCATGTAGTTTAGTTACATTCCTCATGCTTTCAATGATTAGGCCCATTTCCATACCCTAAATAAATAAATAAAAATCTCTGTCTTCTTTTGCAAACAGGCTAAAAGAGTTCCTAAAGGACACATTTTGGACAATGGCTGTAGAAAATTTATTTTATAAAACAAATACAATGCAGTACCCGGAACTATTTTTTTGCTGGATTTTGAGGCATATGTAACGATTCAAAGCCTAATACTGCACAGCTTCCTGTTCTCCAACATCCTCTAATATGGACAGACATCACAAAAAACTAAGACACAGATACTGGCTGGTTTCAAAATATGAATTAGCTCTGGCCAAGTTCAGAAGGCTTTTGAAGGGTGAAAAGGGATGCTCTTAACAGGAGGGAAATGCCTAGGGCATTGCTGGCGGGTGACAGCAGGGTATTTCTAAGCGTTAACATTTCGAGCGATAAGCTTTCTCAAAAAGTGCTGTAAGCATGGCTGTGACACCACTTTCTTTAATGAACATGCATCCTCCTCCTTGTCTTAAGTATTTCATCCCTTTTCCAAACTAAGCATCACCTTCCTTTGTGACTTTGGTGCGCTCTGATGCTCCCGCGTCCCCTCAGGTGAAACGCATGGTGTGAGGACGTGTGTCTTCACCAGGAGTGGTTCTTCTCAGAGACACGTATCTCCAGAAATTCTGTCAATTTAGGACCCTGTCGCAACAGAAAGAGTTGTAGCTGATTCTTTGGAAAAATTAACATTTCCCAGTTTCAATAACTTTGTGGCTTCTGTTCCCATGGAAACAAGCAGGGCTTGCCACAAACATGGTCTTGCTTGCAAGTAACTGTGGGTTACCAAGGAAGACCTATGATACACTAGATGACTGAAGGTTTTGGGTTTAATTTTCTTATTGAAATGCTAGCTTTGAGCTCAATAAAAGCATTTTTGGAGTCTACTCCTGTAGGTTCCCACCTTAAAGTTCATACATGGTTCTATTCTTTGATTTTCTCCAATATCCGAGATCAATAGAAATGGTTGTTGGGTTTTCCTGTGTCAGATATCAGTCTGCCTCAGAAATAATTAAAATGCTGAAGCTCTTACGTGCAGTGCCAGAGAGCACTAGTCTGATTTATCGAGCTTATTAGGTTGAGTACTCCACTATGTGGAACAAAAAGCAGATCTTTCCAAAAGGGGTGAGTATGAGATAAGAAATACCAGAGTGGAAAACAGATAAACAGAGAAACTCAAGAAAACAGTGAAAACAAAACAGTGTCCAGCCTCTCTAGGCAGTGGTCTCAGTATTGCAATTAAACTGTTTTTCCGCTTTTATAGACATCACAGGAGAAGAGAGGATAAGGCATTTTGTGGGTATTCGTGAGATGCAGTTCTTACTTCAGAAGGGAAAAGTTACGTGATATGCCCATTTCCACACAGAAGAATAAAGGTCAGAAAAGGAGATAAATTATAGCCTTTCAGGCTCCCACTTTTCTAGCCTGTTCACTGCAACAGCTTTCCAAGTTTTCTAAATATTTTCAAACCTAATAGCAAAAAAAAAAAGAAAAAAATAGACAAAACTCACAAAAGTGTATCCATTCAGTTATTTGATCAACATTGTCAAAACAAAAGGAAGTAAAATTGTTTTCCTTTGTAGGATTTTGAGCTGAACAATGAGCTGAAAATGAATGTGTTAAATTTGCTGGAAGAAGTTTTGAGAGACCCTGACCTTCTACCACAAGAAAGGAAAGCTACTGCAAATATACTGAGGTAAATATGTTTCTAATAATTTAGTATGTTAACTATAGCATGTGAAATAGGGGATCATGTATCATAGAATTCACAGGGTTTGGTTTTTCTCCAGACTATTTAATTTTGGAGGATTACTAGGTGTTTCATTAGCTATAAAAGAGAGTGTGTTTTAAGTTCATTCATAAAAATACCTGTATTAGAAAATTTTGCTGGAGAACAGCTGGCAGCCATAGGTTCAGTCTTTATGCAGCAGGGAAAAATGCTGCCCAGTAAAGCAACAAGACCACTCACTATAATACCTGAGGAGCTCGTATCCCAGTAATGAGACACCCACTCTGCTAAGCTCATGAGAGGCTGATGATAGCCTAACGTATCATGACATCCTAACAAGACCATGCTTGCACCTTCCCTTGTGTTGACACCATGTCCAAAGTTCTTTGGGTAGCTTACGGAGAGGAATTCTTGCTTTGTGCCATGAAATAAAAGATCTTTAAGCTTCTGCATAACCAGAACTATTTAAATTAGGGTCAAAACACCATAGTTTGTTACTTAGGTATTACAGAATTGAGTGTATAGTCATGCCAAAGAGACAAATCTTTATATGCATTTATCAGTGAAAATAATTTTGTCTACTAAGTGTGAATATTTTATAGTAAACTATTTTCATGTAAGTTGTTCTACATTACTAAGGAGCAGTAAACATTTAAAGACCAGGCAGTTGTTAAAATAAGATACAACATAAAAACACAGATAAATCTATGACGCGCTTTGTTAGTACTTTTGTAAGTATTCTGCTGGAAAGTCAATAAGGGTGCAATAAATGCAGTGTGTCTGAATTTTCTAAGACCATTTGACAGGTTTCCCCATCAGATTCTTACATGAAAAAGAATGTCCGAAGAATGAGGGGAAAGTTGTTCACCTGGAGGGAAAAAAGTCAAACAAAGGATAAGAAACGAAGACAAGTTCTTAATAAAAGCACTTCATGTCAATGGGATCCTACTTAATTTTTACATAAATAAAAATAAACCTTTTAAATTATACTACATGTACTGTTATTCAAAGTAAAAATAGTAAGTTTGTTTCATGTATTTCTTTGGAAGAAACAGCAAGCAAGAAGAGCAAAAAGGATTAGGATAATGGGGTTCAATAATATGTGACAGCAAAGGTTCTGTCAGATTGCTCACAGGCAGAAAAATTACCTTAAGACCTTTAGCTTCTTAAGAAAATACGAGAAAATAAACCTGAATTGGCTGTTTCTGGCAAAGTAGTGGAATAGATTTATAGGCCTTTAACATACAAGTTTGTTAGCTGTATCCAGTTTCCAATTAGCCAATTTCCATTAGCTGTTGCATCAAAAAATGGGACCTTGGTAATTATGTGTAAACTGTGAGTTGCCCCAGTTTGGATCCTTTTACTGCTGTTCTATGAAATGGTAAGTATTGTTTGTCCTCTCTTTCCTTCTAGCACTTACTACTTTAGTATCTGAGCACACTGTATATGCATCTGAGCACAGTGTATATTTCTTTTGCAAAAAAGAAAAAAAAGATTAAATTCTGTAAGAAGTGAAAATTCTGAAAAAGTTAAATTTTTTAAAAACTGAGAAAAGGGGAAAATAAAAAGCAAAAGGAAGGAGTAGTGAAATAAAACAATACTCAAAAATAAAATTCTAGTAAAAATGAAAAAAATGTATGCATAGAAATGGAAATAAAAGTTAATTAAAAATCATCTCATTTAAAATATCTGTAGAAACAGATTGCATTTTTAAAAATCCTTCTTTCATAGCCGTTATCCCCACAGTATTTCTGGAAAGTATTATGGCACTTCACAAGCAGGCAAGTAAAGCATGAATAAAATGACCTGTCCAAGTTCTCAGTGGGATTTTCTGTTGCAAACAGGTAGAGAATGAAGATTTCCTGAGATATGGTCCTCAGCCAAGCCATCTTTCATCAGGGTTTGCAGCTATATACCCTAATCCTGCCAGATTTTTCAAACATAGTTTGATTATAGATTTGGTCATACCGAACCATAAGTATGTGGTTACATCCCACAAACTAGCACTGAAAAAAGAGCCATTGGTGGCTCAGCATGCAGAACTAGTCCTTTTGACTGAATGCTGCATGGATGTCCCACTTCCCTTCAAAATGAGGCATGAACTTTAAGCCATGGCTAACATTGGTTATCAAAAATCAAGACTGGCAATGCTGCTGGTGTATATGCATGCTGGACAATGCGTTATGTCGAATATTTCAATACTAATTCAATTTCAATACTATTTCAACACTAAGTCCAGTAAGGATCAGTGACACAGTATTGCTGTCCCAAGGTTTCAGAAAACTGCTGTGTTCCATTTTCTGTAGCAACCATATTTCAGCAGCAGCTGAAATTACTCCTGTCCTATCCATGTGTTTATTATATACACAAACCACCCATAAACTTTCAAATAGAAGTTGTTGCATAAGTAAACTTTCAGATAGAAGCTGTTGCATAAATACAACTTTCATAATTTAAACTGTGGTTAAGCTGCAGTCAACAGGACATCAGGATATAGTCTCCAAGTTAAAAATGTTATCACATAAAACAAACTGTCCCAAAGTCTTACGCTGAGCAAAACTAATCTGAAGCTTCTGGGCTTGTTCTCCGGCCATGCAGGAGGCAGTTACTTGCCAGGCATGTCAAATGCATTAACAGTTAGTTGGTAAGGAGAAATTAATTCTCTGGGAATGGGAACTGCTTCAGTAACCTTGTGAGAAAGAGTATATCGGCGCAATTCTGATTTTGGACAAAAAATCACTCAGCTGGGATGAAATACACAAATGTGTCATATATCTCATCCTTTCACTGAAAGGAGGAGCTCTGGTTTGTAAATCACCTCAGGAAAATGGGTTGTCTGGTAATTAAGAGTAGTTTCCAAGCTTTCAAAAAGCACCATAGTTATTCCCAAAGATATATTCTCAGCAACACTATATAGTTAACTGAGAAGAGGAAATTATAGGATTTAAGAAATAATCTGCAGTTGAATGGAGTTGTTTGTGTGTAACTACAGATCTGTGGTAATGACACAGGGGTGCACGTTCCTTTACTCTTCCAAAAGCCTTCATTTTTATTGCACATTAGGAATATTTATAAGCTTTAAAAAAACTGATCAAGTTGCTAGTCCTAAGCAGTGACCTGCTGTCCCATGGAGACTGTGAACACACCATTCTGGCTGCCTCAGGAACAGCCTCAGCTATTGGGGTGGGAAGCAGGAGTCCCTCTGGTCCTCCACTTCTCAGCTTGTTAGTGGATTCAGAGGTGGAACCAACTCCAGACTGTTCTTTAAAAACTTAACTTTTTAATAATTCAAAATATAAAACTGAGGAATAGTTTCTATCAGGAGGATTTAGCTTTTCTGGCAGGTTGAAAAGGTCGTTGCTCAATTCTGGAGCTGATTTCATGAAGAATGAGAAACCAACAGAGGCAGAAGAGACAATATCCACATGCCTGCCTCCTATCTGACAATACAATTGTATGAACCCAGTTGGGAACCAGGTTTATAGTGCCAGAAGAACAGTTTTTTCTATATTTGTACTAAAAACAAAGATACTGCTTCTGGTGCAAAAAGACGACATGGTGACACGGAAATGGTTCTTTCCCTGACATCCTTGCCTGATGCCTCCCGTGCTGCTATGGCTGGTTGTGGAAGTAGGTCAAAGCAAACATTGAACACTCTCTTCCCTAAGCTGGGAGAGTTTTCTCTGTTACTTGTCTCTGAAGATTACTATTTATTGTAGTAGGGACAACCATGACTATGTTCCTCTTGACCAACAACTGCTAAGCTTCAAGCAAATGCTCCCATACTGCACTGAGACATTGTGAAGAGGCACCATGTTCTACACCAATGTATCATTGTTTTCTTTTTTTCTGCATCAGATTACAGTTTTTCTATCATTTGCCAACATGACAGATTACAGTCAATGTTCTGAATGTTAAGAGAAGGCCTGTAATGGAATAAAATTATTTCTTCAGTTCCTTGAACCATCCATAGGTTATAATGACAGGGTGAGAGGAAAGGGATTTCCTCTCTGCATTGACTTAGAAAAAATTCTTTGGTGGGACCCACTGTGTCTAACTGAAGCACCTAACCACGAAACAAACTGTAGACAGCTAATGAAGCACTCCTTCCAAGGTAACTGCCTATCACAGAGGAGATTCTGTCCACCAGAATTGTCTAAAATTAGGCATCCTGACTGTTCCTCCAGAGAACTTAGAAGACACCTTCCTTTCTCAGACGATTACAGAACACAGGCAGTGACTTGCGGAGGATGTGAATCCCACCCTGGATGTCCTAAAGATCTAGAGTCTTTCTTGTTGTAGAAATGTGTAGAGGTGCTCCCAGGTATTGTGTTCCTCTTTTGGTTCACATACCAATGTCTGGTTTGGAGAAATCCTACTCCGTCCATCACCACTACATACCCACCTCTTTGGAAGGATGTTATCTTTTTGGTTTTCTTCTAGATGGAGGCCTTTCATCTAATATTACATAGAGGAGGAATATAAATTACCCACCTAGAACTGAAGAGCTTTTTTACTGTTATTAGAGATCAATTTGTTTGAAGACTTTTGACAGCATTATTTTTTACGTGAAAGCACAGATTTGTCGTAACTGGAAGTTTTGATGAAACTTTCATTCAAAAGGTCTCCCTGCGACAGGATGAAAGTAGGAAGGAGGGGTGAGCCAGTTGACATGCCCCTCGTGAAAATAGTCATTCACCCAATTGCTAGGTGAGTGTCATAAAATAGGCTTTTTAGTTGTTCTGAAGAGGTGCTTGCTGCAGGCTTTTATATCTTAAAGGCCTTGCCATATCAAAACATGTAGTCTATCAGAATTCTGGTTTGCCAGTCAACCTTCACTGTAGGTCCTGGCTTCCCCACATTCCAGTTTTCATAGTCTATTCTTGACTCTGAAAAATAGAGGAATTCAGAGTGCAGTTAGGAAAAGCATTTCTTATCATAAAATCATTGTTCGAACACTCATTTGAGAAAGTTCATGCTTTTTGAGCCTACATATGGGTATATTCCATGGACCGTCTCCTTGAAGGATATTGGGTACAAATATCTCTTTTTACAAACTGACCTAGCCTTTGAGTGTATGCGCACATATGTGCATATAAATTTCTTGGAAAATCAGTCCCTTTGTCAGCAGAGATTAGAGGAGGAGGAAAGGTTGGTTTGTATTCCAAAGATGATATGGTCAGCTCTGGGAAAGACTCTGTGTAGAATATGAATGGCAAGGAAAGTGTTTATGAGAGATACTAAGCTGCTTCATGCCTTCTTGAGTCATCAAACAGAACAGCTGGTGTTTCTTGCGTGATAAGATTTTTGTTGAATGGACTGACAGGGTTTCTCTGCAGGGTAAAAAAGCTGCTTTTTCTTTTTATTCAATATCTGTTCTGAAAGCTATGCAAACCTACTGTAGTACGTTTTGCTTGAGATTTTATCAGCCTTATTTACTAACCCCTGAAATCTAGGTAAAATTTCATTGATGGTGAAGCAGGAAGACGTAAAGTTCAGACTGAACAGCAGTGAATAACTTCAATAAATAGTCCTATCTGGAGAAAAAAAGGGTGGTTCAAGAAACAGTTCCTCCTTCTTCTTCCTCAGAATAAATGTAAATGAAATCCAGGAATATGCAGAGGTCAAAATTCGATGGATGACCAATTTTCTGCCTCGTATGATCTCACCAGACAATACATTTCAGGCTCTTTAATTTACATCAGCTTTTAAAATATTTTATATACCATAAAGGAATGAGGAGACAGATGTTAATATTTTCCACTAGAAAATTATTTTAATATTTGGACTGGTCAAGCATGAAGAATAGCTTAAGTGAGAGAGAGATCTAATCTTAGCTGCTGACTCTAAGAATTAGAAAGTTATTTCTTATATATTTACTTCCTTCATTTGTGAGGGTAACGATGGAGGTGTCACCCCATTCAGTCCTCCCTGAGAGGGATACTGTTAAACAGTCCGGCAGAATCTCTCCTTACCTTTGCTTTCTCTCATAACTCTTTTCACATGTACCTGTGCTTCTTACCCAGCTTCCAGGAGGCTCTCCAAGGAGTGCAACAGGAACTCCCCAAGCAGAACTGACCAGCTTAACATATCTTCCTAGATCTCTGTTAAAACTAGGTATCCCAAAGCTGACAACAGTGCAGACTGAAGTGGAAGCTACTATTGATGCTATCAAAAAGTAGCTTTATCCAGTCTAGACATGTGTTGTCCTCTGCAGGTTTAAACAAAAAATTGTTTAGAGCAATTATGGATAAAAGGAGAATTTTTTTAATGGGACCACTGTGTTAGAGAAAAAACACCAGTAACCTCTTTAGAATGAGGGATTGGAAGTCTACATTAAATGTGAGATGTCATGTTAGAGAGTATCAGGAAGCAAAGATGGGGAAAAGTTAAGTATTTTCTTTTAAGAATCTCATGTTTCCTGTTTTATTTTGTATTAAGCAAATACAATAATTTCTGTATCAAAGATGAGAACTCCAGGCAATATGAAGTTATACATAAGGAACTCAAATGATGAGTTTACAAGATTACTGAGAATACTCGGGGCAGAAGGGCTAGTCCTCTCTTTCTTTTATTGCCAGGAAGCTCATGCTCTTGTCATACAGTGAACAATACCTTTCTGCAGGCAATCAGTCATGAGATACAGCACAAAATAAGCTGCTCAGGAAAGACAGGTTGCCAGTGTATTTACAGTTACTGAGGCTGCACACTTATTATCTGGAGAAGAAGCTTAGGGTTTTCCTGAAGAAGTAGACATTCAAGAGTTGGCACGGCTTGCCCATCAGACATAAAGTGTTTCCAACTCCTATGAAGAAAGGGGCATTTTGTGTGGATTTGATAGGCTGAAAATGAAGGCAAGGAGGTTTTCTAGGTCCTTTCTCTGTATCTGCATTTGATTTTAACCTAGTCCTCCAACTTGGCAAACCAAAAGGAAACAACAGCAACCCACAACAGAAGAACCTAGTGTACTAAGCATTAACACTTCCTCCCCACCCACATAGTACAAATTCCGTATCTTACACTCATAGCTAAAGTCTCCAGGCAATGTAATTCTTTTCTTTTAACCCTTTCCCCAGCTGGTACATGGAAAGTCTGTTACTGCAGAGTGCAAAAATAAAGAATTTGAGGGACCATGAGAAAATACCTGCTGTGCTTTCTGGAATGATCAGTAGAACTGGATCTTCTTTGAAAATGGTCATCTAAACTTTTCTTGAAAATTCAGCTGATGAGTGTTCTACAACTTCTGCAGAAAGCCTGTTTCAGTGCTCACCTGTGCTTGCAATTGGAAAATTGAACTTAATGTTGAAACTAAATCTCTCCTGATGCGAATCAGTCCAGTGACTTCTTGCCATATCATTGGTGTCTTTATAGGCAGTCTTTTATGTACTGACATACTGTTCTTTCTCCCTAAATCTTCTCTTTCCTATATTGTATAAATCCAGTCTATTCAAGGTTTCTTGAGTCTCTATTTTCCAAATGAAGGGGTAAGATCTTAGAATTATGTGCCAAGATACTACATCAGGGTAGTATATAAATAATCACAGGTTTTCTATAGCAGAATTGGAAGCATGGATTAACACTTGTATTACTGAAAGCAAATCATGTACTTGCTACAAGTAAAATCTGCTAGCAGTTTGTTGTCTATTTCCACACTCACAGCTCTTTGTGTGGAACATTGAACAGGACAGTATAGTGCCAATAAACAAGAACACTTCCCAGTGAATCGCTCTTTTATGCATGCCTATTTTGCTGTCTTTTCTTCACTTCTCAAATGTTGATTTTTCAAACATTTACCCAAAATATCATTTAGCACGGCAGTTTAAAAATCAGAGAAAAGGCTTGAGATGTAATTTTCCACCTTTAGGTTTCCTAGGGTTATTCAGGATAGAGAGCTTTTGATTAAATAATATTGTTATTGTGTTGTGGTTTTGTGTTGCTAGTCCAGTTCTTGAAAAGGGAATTTTCCTTTGTCCACCAAACTTCTTTGCACAGAAGCAAAAATGCAAAGAATCATTAAAGGTTGGAAGAGACCTCCAAGATCATCGAGTCCAACCATCAACCCAACAACACCATGCCCACTAAACCATGTCCCTAAGCGCCTCATCTCAGTTTAAAAATCAGAGAAAAGGCTTGAGATGTAATTTTCCACCTTTAGGTTTCCTAGGGTTATTCAGGATAGAGAGCTTTTGATTAAATAATATTGTTATTGTGTTGTGGTTTTGTGTTGCTAGTCCAGTTCTTGAAAAGGGAATTTTCCTTTGTCCACCAAACTTCTTTGCACTGAAGTCAAAGTGGCATAGATATAGAAACCCTATCGCTATAATCAGCAAATAAGTACAGTAGTTATTGTCTTTGACCATTCTACAGTATATGCTGTTCTTAGCTCAGAGGTGTTAAGCCTCCGTGACCATCATTTTACCTTATGTCACCTTACGTGATGTTGTACCATTTTGGACACTTTCACTTAAAACAAGACATTAGATTTTAGGTACCAGATTTTTTTTTTCTTTACATCATCAATTGCAGTCTTAGGATTTATTTTAGATAAACATGATTGCCTATCTGTAATAAGGTTTTCTCATAACCATAGACAACTTTATTTATAAAGGATGTTCTGCTACTTAATTTTTCAGGGCTCTTTCTCAGGATGATCAAGATGATACCCATTTAAAAATAGAGGATATCATTCAGATGGTAAGTTCATCTTGAAATTTAAACATAAATACTCCTATAGAAATGTTGTGGGTTTAAGTCAATAAGATGTAGCACAACTGCAACTTCACAACTCTGGACAGAAATACTGTTCTTTTATATCAAGAATGTACATTTCAGTTTAGAGAAAGTAAGAATTTTGAGCCCATATCAAAGATGAACAGGTCAAAACTTTAGGATTTGGATTTAAATCACAGGATGGGAAAAAAAAAAAAGGAAAGGTATTAATATATATGAAATGATGAGCGTCTGCCATCTCAGCTGCCATCAGAACCATAGCTGGCCTTGACTGGCAATGCCCATCCTCCAACAGTAGTCACCGCCATCTCATGAGTGCATTGTGTTAATCCAAAGAAGAGTGTGGGCAATGAACTGGGTGCAGAGTGGTTATGTGAAAAGTAACACAGAATACAGACTTTAATTGATTGACGTACTTACTCATGACTTGGTATGTGCCTGTTTTCCTATGAGTTTCCAGCCTGATGTTTACCCTTATGTTGTTAGCAATTTTTCTTAATTCTTATTTCTTTGTAGCAAAGAAGTTAATTACAACTCTGTGTTGAAAGTCCTTATGAAGTTCTTGATACACTGTTCTTTGAAATGTCCTTTGATGCAAAAAGAGATCATTAAGTGTTCTCCTTATCTTTGCAGTCCGATTGTCCAAAACCAGAGTGCTTTGAGACTTTGTCAGCCATGGAGCTTGCAGAGCAAATAACTCTTTTAGATCACGTAGTTTTCCGAAGCATACCGTATGAGTAAGTGTTCTCCTACGAGTGACTGAAGTGAGTACGGTGGATGAGTTACTGACTGGCAGTGTTAGGCACTACACTAATTCATGCTACTGACAAAAAGGTTTGCATACATAACAGGATAATGTCCTTTGGCTGTTTGTATCATTGCCTCTGACTCCCCTATAGTTTGATCACATTTTGAAAGACTGAGCTCTTAGCTAAGAAAAAAAATCTGTGATTGAAGGCTCTAGGCTAGTGAAGGGTGAATATAGTATGGAAGTGCTGAGTCTCTAGGGAGAGAGTGTCAAATCAGCTTCATTCATACAGCAGTTTAACATGGATATAACCACGTAAGCTGACAAGACCAATTTCAGATAGGGTCACAATGCTGAAAATTAGGATCGGGGGATTGGGAGAGGGGATTAAAAGAAAAATAAATTTTCTTTATAGTATTTACTGCTTCAGACAGCATTAAAAATGGTACAGTGAAATGCTGAAATTAGTATAAAGCTATGTTACTAGTTTCTAACAAAAGGAGATATACTTGAAATCCACTTAAGCTACGGTTACAGACAGACACTCTGTACTGTGTATATTAAGGGCATTTTTGTTTGGTTTTTTCTCTCCCCTCAATGTCTAGAGAGTTTCTTGGGCAGGGCTGGATGAAAGTGGATAAAAATGAGAAAACACCCTATATTATGAAAACTAGTCAACATTTTAATGATGTAAGTACTCTTAAATATAGATTGCTTTCTAGGAACTCTATTGACACTGTCTATGACCTCTGCAACAAGAATATCTTTTTTTTTACAATGTGATGTAACTTCTTATCTAGTAGTAACTGAATGTCACAGTCTTTCTGTGATTAACCTTTTAAATCAAAGCACATGAAGATTCTCATTTTCAAGAATTGGTACTGAGCATTTCAATGGCAATTTAACAGAGTAGAACATTTTAAACTGTACTACAATGCCTTGTTGCTTACAGAAGAAACTTAAGTTTTCTCCAGAGGGTGAAAATATAACACCAAGTCTATTTAATGAATGCCCTTTGTATCCCCAACCATATCTTTGCCTTTACCATTTTCCTTGAATTTTACTGAGAGTCTTCCCAATGAGTTTTATTACTGTTGGCTTGGACATACTCCCCATTGCATTTCTTACCCTTCTTTCATATCATCATTCCCCCAGCTTCCCTACAACACTGTTCTCAATACGCTTTCTCTGGTTTTATTAAGAGCCATGAGTTCTGTTGTGCATTAGTTTTCTTCTGCTTTGTTCATTAAATAGTTATATGTTGAAAGGGATTATATTTAAATGTTCTAAATTTCTTCCTCTTTGTTTGGTCAGATGAGTAACCTTGTTGCCTCCCAAATCATGAATTACACTGATGTCAGCTCCCGGGCTAACTCAATTGAGAAGTGGGTAGCAGTAGCTGATATCTGTCGATGTATGCACAATTATAATGGTGTGTTAGAAATCACATCAGCCTTGAACAGAAGTGCAATCTACAGACTTAAGAAAACTTGGGGTAAAGTATCCAAACAGGTAAGAAAGATACAATTACAGTATGGTTTCTAGATTTCACTGGTCAGTGTGTTCAGAAAACAACGTGTTGAGATAGGATTCCTTCCATAAATATTTCTACTTTTACAATACTCTGACTATTTGCTGGAAACACCAAGTAGTATTGGTGTTTCATGTAAAAGTATTTTGTGTTTCGCTTACCCTTTTTTTGGTATCATAAATTAAATATCTGTAGGAACAAACTGATTTCAATGGGATTAGCAGGTGCCTAAGCCTACAACTTGAGCCTGAAGTACTGAAATATTTGCAAAAATTAAATTTAGATATTTTCAGATATACACATCTAGATGGTTACTGGCTATAACTATAGCCAGCTCAAGTGCATCAAATAGGATCTGTATTTCCCTGCCAGTGCAGAAAGTTGGTAGAAAGGTCAGTATTTCCTCTCAAGGTGCTGAGTTTTTCGCTACCAAGTAAGAGACCATAGACAGCCAGACCTCTTTCTCATTTAGGTGCCTAAGTTTAGATGCAGTGAATATCTCCCTTTAACCCTTACCTTGGTGCTGAGACTGTCAGCAGCATGGCTGAGCCTGTGAGAATGGCTGCCAATAACAAAAATAAGACACAAAAAAAAAAGACTAGCCAGGATGAAGAGTATCCAGTCTTTTTTAGGGAGTTGGACTTGATGATCCTTATGGGTCCCTTCCAACTCGAGATATTCTATGTTTCTGTGATTTTATGTTCTCTGTTTTAAATGTTTTGGAGAAATTGGTTGAATGATTTAAATCTCAGGTTTCTGCTATTTGAAAAAAAAAGTTAATATTTTAGTATGGTGGAATAACAGAGCAAGGAGGTCAGTAGGACAGAGCCAATCGCTTGTAAGTTAGGCAGTATTTGAATACAGGGTTTACTCCAGCTAACTGGAAGATTTCAGATTGTCCTTTTTAGATCTGGCTAATTGACATGCAAAAGGTGGGCTTTTATTATTGCATTCCCTCCTCCATATGTTTCTGCAGCTTTTGCAAAGCACTCAAGCAGCCCAAGCAATGAAATCCACTTAGAATACATTCTGATTGCAGTGCCTTCTTTCTCCAGTCAGCTTTTTCTCAGATGCTTTATAGCTGGTGTTTTTTTATTTTAAAATATGCTAAAAATCCTTTCAGTACAAACTGTTATATAAGAGTTCACCTCCAAAAGTTTTATGTTTAGAATTTGTTTGATTTTTAAACTTCTCAATTTAAAAAAAAAAAACAACAGATTAATGTTGTTGCACAGTTCTCCAGCACTTATTGGAAATGTAATCTGCGTGTTTCATCAGCCTGCTATTTAGAAGAAAAAGAAAGTGTCTGCTTCTGCCTACAGCTTTCTTTTAATTGGTAATTCAGTTTCAAATATGACAAATTTCTTATGATTCTCTATACTGTCTCAAGTCTATAGCATAAATAGACTGAAAAGCAAATTTATTTTGCTTACGAAGTAACCGGGCTCTGATGGTGCCCACTGAAAGTAATTTGTGTAGGACAGTAATATATTTTCAAATACATATTCAGCTTTTATCAGAAACTTGGAGGCAAAACCAGCTTAGTGCAAGCTGCAAGACAGTAAACATCCTTTACTGTCACCAATTTCAGTAAACGCAGCTGAAGAGCCTCAGCAACATGTAAGATCAAGTCTCTAATATTCTTGTATACATGGTAAACTGAATTGCTGACCATTAATTTAATGAATTTGTGTTTCTTCCTGAATTTGCAGGCTAATAATATTAGCATAGATACAGGTTCTGTGTATCACTCAAAGGAAAATCTTTAATGCTGCCTAATCGCCATCTTCAGAAATACACTAGGAACTACAATGAAACTAAATTCCTAATGCCTATGTTATTACTTTTGAAAATAGGGTGAAGATGCTAAGTGAATTACACCTTTTCTAAAAACTAATCTCAGTCACTTACGTGCAACAGCAGTGACATTTGTAATGTATTTTTTTTCTAGACAAAAGCTCTCATGGACAAGCTTCAGAAGACTGTATCATCTGAAGGAAGATTTAAAAATCTTAGAGAAACACTCAAAAAGTACGCTTTCCTACACCATACAGTTGTGTTTTGTTGTAAGCAGTGGACAGTACATGTTAAAGATTAATTGGCTTTGATTAAGCTTAAATAATTAATATAATACTGGATAATATTTTTACCTAATAACTTTTTAAATTCTAGTTTTATTCTATTTGACATTATTGTTTTGCTGAATACCCCATGATTTAGTACACCTGATAGATAAATGTAATATTTCCAGAGAATTACTGAAACAAATCAAACTATTATTCTGTGTGAATGTTCCCTGTTGGGGTTTTACTTACACTGATAAGTGTGAAGCCAGGTTTATAAATAAAAGTTCATATTCAAAAACAGGATTCCAGAGAGTCCTTGTTCCAGATAAGAAGTTTAGGTCTTAAGAATAAGCTTGAGTCAGATCAAAATTCCAGTCACCCCTTTATCTTTTTTTTGACAGTGGCCAGTAGCTGATGAGAGGAACGTAGGAACAGGTCAAATGCGCAGTGATATTTCCTCTCCTATACCCTCCCAGCCCCCTGTAGTCTGCCACCCTGGAAAACAGCCTGGGTTTTTGTACTGTAGTCCTTGAATAATTTTTTTCTTTAATTGATTTGCCAGATTGTGTTTGACTGTATGTAATTTTGGTATCCAAAATATCCTGTGACAAGGGTTCTACAATTTATGTACTGACTCCAACTGTATGCATACAAAACCTGTATTTTTGCAAGTTCTGTAATTAGAAGTGGACTTTCCAGGATTGAGTAGTACAACTACTTTAAATGATCTTGAGAGAAGCAGGAATAGTTGCTGAAATGTTTCAAAATATACGTAGTGCAAGTTAGTCAATTTTTACTTTAAAAATATTGTTGGGGAGCTAATCACTTTTTTAAAAATGTTTTTACTCACAATATATGAACATGTACTTCTATACATCTTTCAGTTAATATATTGCTTGCCTGTGTACAACAATCACCCTCATAATATAAAAAATACCCAGAATGAAGTGCACTGCTAAGCATAGTCAGCAGTCTGCCTACGTTAACAGCACAGCCATCACCCTGTATTTTTCTTATGCCAGAGCTTCAGAAAACCAAGCTTGCTACTGTTTCTGCTGAGGCAAGAATCAGTGAGCATGGAGCACTGATTATTGCATTCGGGAAGCAACAATCATTATCCCATCCCGCTGTCCCTCCAAGAAAAGAAAATCCCTAGTCTCTAGGGTCTGTATTCACAGTTTTCCAGATCGTCTTTGCTACCTCTCTGTCGTCCTCTTTCTCTTTGTGTTCACTGTTGAGAAGGCCTGAACAGACTTTGACAGAATGGTATATACGTATGTACACACACATATATATACATGCATATATACATACATATGTGTATGTATGTATAAGTAGTGTATATATATGCATGTATATACGTATATATGTATATATCTCCACATGTGCGCACACACTCTCTCTCTCTCTCTCTCACACACACATACACACCCCCTTGTTATACTAGGATGCTTACACGACTGCAGAACACCAACCATGCAGAAGCACATCCACGTGCATTTTTAGCTTGTGTGTAGGATCTATTTCAGGGATTGTCTGTTAGCCAGGATTGAAATATGCTTAAAGGTGTTCTCTGAGTCCAGAGTTTACCTGTCCTTCCTCTCACTCCATCACGTTACCATTCTACCTTTTACTAAAGGTTTTCTGCCATTAATATTAGATATTGGACAGAATACATTCAATTTGTCACAGGCAGAGCAAATACAACTCAAGTGAAGTCAGAGAAGCTGTTTGTCTTAGAAATTAATGTAACCCATTGATTAGAAGTATGTTAAGTAATAGTTCGTGTGAATTATAAAAAAATCAGTTTGTAAATTTAGCTACAGGCAAATATGCTGATTTCTTGTTTCACAGTTGTAACCCACCTGCTGTTCCCTACCTTGGAATGTACCTGACGGACCTGGCATTCATTGAAGAAGGAACACCAAACTTCACTGAGGAAGGCCTTGTCAATTTTTCCAAAATGAGAATGGTAATTTTCAGTTCCTTATACACTTTCCCAACAGGTGTTTAATTATGTGAGTTAATTATTGATTTAATTACAACTCCTTTGAATTTAATGTCTAAGATGCACAAGTATATTGGCACCATGCAAGATGGGTAGCTATTTGAAAGCAATTACTTGACCCAGTCTTCTATCACCACCTTCTGGTAAACTGAGTATTTTTACAGGGTGAATTTGCTTCCAATTTGTTCTTTGGGAAGTGAGAGACAGAAAAATCAGCTGTCTGAAGCTCATGAAGGAGCAACAAAAGGCTTTTTGAAATAACCAAAATTAAAGGAATGTAGTGATTCACTAGAAAGCAGTAATCACAATCTTCTTTTCAAGTGTGCTAGGGTCTATCTGAAAAAGCATTTTAAAGTTGATTTCTCTCCAGCTACCATGTAATGTTGTTTTGCAACAACTCCTCAGAGGGAAGCATGGAAATTTCTCTTCTAATCTCAGCTTAATACCCTTCTTATGGCTACACATCGCAGCAGTCACTGCAGGCAAAGAGAAGAGAGGTTATCAGTATGGAGAGAGGAGAGACAAGGTGGTTCACTTGAGGCTGACTGAACAATAAACGGTTAATTTAGGAAAGTGACATCCTTGGAAGCCATTAGGAGATGATCTCTGCTCTTTCCTTCCCTCCTCCCAGGATAAATTGCATAATTTGGTGCAAAATTCTTGCCTTATGTGGCTTAGCTGAAGTCAAAATGACATTGTACTTACTCATATACATGTATTCTTTTGAAAGATCTCACATATAATCAGGGAAATACGCCAGTTCCAGCAGACCTCCTACCGCATAGAGCATCAGCAGAAGGTAAGGCTCTTCTTAGGCACTGTTACCTACTACTGAAATCAAAGCTGTGGTAGCAATTAGTTGTAAGATACAGCTGTTGCTGAAAGCTAAAATCAATGTATTCTGCTCCCACACACACAGAGGAGAGGACAGACAGAAATATGGACAGGTACTCTGGGGCCTCACCCTGGCAGAAACTGTCTGACACTATATATAGAAGCAAGTTTTTTCCTCCTTCTCTGGAAGCTCTCTTGGGATTGCAGCCTTCATGGGTTTGGGGTACAAGGGAATGGGTTCAAAGGGAAATGTGTTCTCCCTGCCCAGTTGGAAGTGTAATTGCCCAGGGAATCCCAGAATCCTGGGATTAGGGGACAGGAGATGGCCCAAGCATCTGCTGATGCTGTGTGCATCCTGCAGTTCTTTTCCCCTTGTCCCTCAGGAAGCGATGAAAATTTGGCCAAAGCCAGTCTGTGCCTTCAGAGATTTCCTCTTAGACTCCAGAAGAGCAACATGTGGTTAGGTAACCTGGCTAAGGACTTGCCCAATCCTAAGAGGCTGTACTTGATTCCTGGAGCGCTGCTGGTGCAGCTTTACACCATTCAAATGAGCCGTTGTGTTTCTCAAGAAAACAACGTGAGGGGATCTCGGGATCTGAAATGGGCTGAAGGGGAAAAGGAAAGCAGAGAAATTTTTGTGGAAGTAACATACAGTCTGTTCATCTGTGTTTTCTCCATTCCAGGTCACTCACTATTTACTTGACAAGACACTCATCATAGATGAAGATACCTTGTATGAGCTTTCCCTAAAGATTGAACCCAGACTCCCTGCCTGAAGAGCCAGCTTTACCTCAGCGTCTACAGAAAGCTTTAGTACAATGAACAAAATCATGCATGCCAAGTCCTAAAGACAGCAAGGGAAATATTGAGAAGAATGCAAGCTCTCTTTTCCAATAGGAGATACAGAGCCTCACAGCATTTCCCTCTCAGGCAATGAAAATGAGCGTTGGAGGTGGAAGGCAAAGATGCCTCCTACCTGGATTAAGTGATTGCTGCTTTGCAAAGATAATGGTTTGCAGTAGGGACTATGCATTTAATGGAAAATAGGAGACTTTCCTGTGAACGGGTAGTAATTGTAGCCATCTTATGTGACAAATTAAGGGGACAGATTTAAATGGTGGTAATATACTCAGGTATATTAAGATAAATGAGCAAAATGAGATGGCTGTGATGTGGTCTGGGTTGATGGCTAACTATGCGTTCACTGAGGCAGTAATGATAGTGGTGTCCTCATATTGTGTTAACTCAATTGAAAAAACAGGATCTTAACAGTCATCTGCTATCTTGGAGTGACATTAAGGTAGCATCTAGTATCTTCAGATCTGCGGTTGTTCAAAATACCTGCTATACATTTAATACTACCCTTTATAAAGTGTTACCTTCTTTAAATGTCTTGTCAGCCTTTTCTAAGGTGACTGATTTTACCTATAAATGAACTGTAAATATTTTTTCATTAATACACAATGAGAGTATTTACAGCATGGAAAGCAAATGGACTAGTTGAATAGCTGTAAATAGTTGCCAGCCTTGCAAGCTTCAGCTGGGAAATACAAGGTTAGGAGCTATACCTGAGACTCGAGAAATCCGGACATACAGTGAATTGGATGGTTAGCCATGTTGCACACAGCCCTGGAAAAGGCACTTTATTTTTCTGCACTTCCTGCAGCTTCTCTGACAAGTCAGGCTACAGAGCACTTTCTGGACACACTGTGGAGAGAAATACATGTCTGGTCTGGCAATGGGTAGTGATCAGCAATGAACACTAGGAGTTGGAGTGACAGTTTTGTTTTATGTGGAATTGGTGGTTTGAAAAATGTCTGGTTTTTTGTTCCAGTGCCATTCGGCAATGACTTAGCTCTAAAATAGTTCAAATCAGTGGCAAACTTTGAATGCCAGCAAACACGATATATTTTTATCTGAGCTAGTAATTATCATCTGCATATGGGCATATGGTTAAGAAAATGTGCTGTTTGTAAATGTTTTCAAAGCATATGCTTTTGTGACATACCAGGTAGGTAGATGTCATTTCTACAGCTAGTTGGTACTTCCTAAATTTTCCTGATCAAGAGTGGCCTGTTGTAGCTGCATGGAAAGTGAGCTCAATGCATGCTGTAAAGTGCATCATAGTATAAAACGCAGGTATTAGCACTGTTGAAAAAAATTGGCTGGAAAAGTGTCCTTACTTTTCCAATGATATTCAGCCAGTTGAAGAAATAGGGCTATATCACTGTATACCTCCCTTAAATCCTCTCAGGGAGACAGATGTTTAAAATAGATTGTGACCTAGGCCTATTTGATCTAACATTTCTTACCACAGTCATGATGCTTCTTAATGCTGGCGATGAAAAACGGATCTGCCTGGCTTGTGGTTTTTGTCCTTATTTGCACTTTATTGTATTGCTGGCCCAGCCCAGAGCTGCATAATAAATTCCATTTGTTCTGTCTGAGTGTAACTGCTAGCATTTATAAATGTACCTTAGCAACTGTAAATTTCATTAAGGTTCTTCACCATGAGGAGCATCTCTTTGTAAATAACTGCATGAGGAAACGTCACAAATACTAGAAAATTCCTCTATGAGAAAAGCAGATAGCAACAGAAAAGAAAATTCCAGAAACATTTTAAATAGTTCTGGCTAATGATTGCTGTAGAAATGAACACGGAAAATGTTACTTAGAGAAGCTTTTTATTGTCAAAAATGTGCTTGTTCTTTTCACTAATGACTGACAAGAAGCTGATTGCATCCCAATGCATGATATGAAAAAAAAAAAAGCATGGCTTATTTGGACCACAGAACCAACTTACTGTGTATTTTCTGTACAAAAGCAGTTATCATACAGTAGTTTCATAAAACACTTTGAAGTAATGAAGAAACGGGAAAAGTGGTCCAAAAAGTGGTTTCTTAACTAGGTTTTATTGTTTCTCTGTTAACAAGGAAAATGTGTAACAACTGTCAGTGTCAATTGGCATCTCTGTTGTATACTATTAACTGCTGCTTTATCTGCCTGTACCCCATTTTACCAAACTTCCTTGATGTTCTTAGGGTTACAGGGTACAATTCTTCATCTTACTCTTTTCACAGTTCGTTGGTTTGTACTTTATGTACATGTATCGGTTCTTCAGTTTCAAAACATTCAATGCATTTTAACGCTTGCAATACGCAGGGGTGGTGCTGTGCTCATGCTACAATATTACAAATGGACAGAGAGGAAGAAAAAGGATTAGACACGGATTTTTTCAAAGGTGCTCAGCATCCGTATCTTAAAATCAGCAGACAATGTGGTAGTTCAGCCCCTCTGGAAAAGCGTATAGTATTTATATGCCAAAAGTTACCTCTTGGGTCAGTGGCACAATTTAGATTAGAATCACTAGAGTAAATAGATACTTGATTTGTGTTCAGAGCAACAAAAAAACAAAAAACAGGTTATGGTCACAGTAATGTTTGATTTGCTGATGACTAATACTAATCTTTTTGGTTGGGGTTACAATGCGCTCATTAAAATACAGGCCGTGACTGCTCAAAGAAGTGAGCGTGCGTCTTGTTATCCACAACCCCAACCAGCATTGCAACCCTAACCAGAGCTGGAAACAGCTGTTCTGCCGAAATCCTGCACAGCGAGTGTAGAGCGGTGTGTCTTCCCCGCAGTCGGGTTGTGTACTTCACGTGTAAGTGGCCTGAGTGCCTCTGCTACAGTACTGCTGCAGTGTTTGAGCTATGGCAGTAGTTAGTAGGCAGCAGCAACCTGCTTTATGTGAGGCTTTGCCTAGTACATCTATAGCTAGTGCAGCGATCTCCCTGTACAGCGCACAGGGATTGTGGAGCTCTTCGCTACCGGCTTCTCTGTGCCACTCCACCACAGCCATATAATATATAGAGATAGAAATCCCAGTCATAAAACACCCACTGTTTGCCTCCGGTGTTTTAGGGAGGATGTCTCCAAGTGAGGACTTTGTCATTTCGATCTTGCTGTCTTTTAGGATCTTGTCCATTATAGCTTTTATGCCGTGGAAGCAGAGCAGACTTGCTTTTCTACAATCAGAGCTGAAAAAGCCGAGCTGATTCAGGATTCGTAAGAAAGAGAAGGGTTGAAGCGCCTATTACTTGCCTTTTTTAGCTCCTCAGCACTGCTCTGCCACTCAGATGCGACAACAGTTCTCATGTTGGAGGGGCTGCTCCCTTCGGCACTCTCCAGACAAAAACGCCTCAGGGTGTACGGGCTGGCTAGCTGCAATGGGGATAGCACATTTTACCCACTGGTTCGGCAGTGGGCACATTTGCCAGCAAAGTCCGAGGGGAGTTTTGCAGTATTTTTTTATTGCGTAAGTAGCAGCCTGGATTCAGCCCGTAGTTATCTTGGAACCTGGGCAGCAGCACAGACACGTCCCCTTCCATGTGACAGAGAGCACTTGTCACACGCTGATACGGGGTTAGAGTTGCCTTCACCCCAGCCTTCACTCCCCCCTGTCCCTCTTCACCCCCCACTAAATTCGCCAGTATTGTTAGTGGACTGAGCCTGTGATTAGTCATCATGTGGAAGAAAAAATAGATCCGTTGAATTTACAGTGGCAGTAAGTGTATATTCTGTCCCTTTCTTTCGGCTAGTCCTGTAACACACAAACGCGTAGCTTAATAGTGAGAGATGATACTGGGACTGATCACCCTTACTTAAAAGTAAGGAAGAGGTCTCCATCCTCTTTCTGCTTTCCTAGTTCTTAATACTGATTATTGTTCTGTAGGATAAAAAGGAACGTAACTATTTATTTATTAACTTTAACCACGTTGATTTTGGTTTCAGGACATGTTCATTATCCCAAACTTTCCTTCGTAATCATTATTTATTTTAAGGGTTTTACAAAAACATTGTTTTATTTGTATCGATATTCAGTCTTTCCTCCTTTCACTCTTATCAGCAACATTAAACTTAGATATATGATTTAAAATTCTCACTGATAGAGACATTTTTACCCACTCATAACTGTTATTCATTAAGGGCAAAATCCTTCAGACCTCATTCTGATAATACCTTAGGCTTCACTGAGAGCTTTTCATAAGTAAGTATTTGGGGATCTGGCTCTCAGCTATTTGCCTGTTACAGTTTTTGCATCCAAAGGTCAAATGTCTCTGTGTAGGATGCTTTGTGTCCAATACGCTGCTCAACTATGGTTGTTTTGTTGTACCTTTACTTTTTAAATAGTCTCTGAAGTTTTGTTCTTTAGGAGAATAGACGTATGTTTATTTGACAGATGTACCTATAACTAACATGTTACTTAGTGCACAATCCAGATGTTTTTGCATGTATTGTAACTTATCTTTTGACCTGAGGTTATTGCTTTGTATTGTTAGTAAGGCATATCAGGCAGGGTATTGTGCCTATATGCTAATTAAACATTCTTTTTTTTCCTGAGTTTCAAGAGTCCTTACTGGTATCTGTTTAATTTTTTACCCCCCAATGGTGAATAATTAAATCTACTCCTTCTGAATTACTGAGTCTTTTAGAGAAACATGGGAGCAGAAGGGACAAACCATGAATAAGAAGGGCAAAATCAGAGAAAATTCTGAGTCTCTTTACTGGGAAAGAATGGTTTGAATTACTGCATTTTATTCTTTGTTCACTCATGCTGCATTGCAGCTGCTGTGGGCATCATTGGGAATAATGCTGATTTTAACTTGAAACAGAGAATGAAGCCTACTTCATATACCACTAGAAATGCTGATCCACTGTGAAGTGTACAGCATAAATAACTAAATAAGACATGTAACAGATTAAACTGAACCAGCCACACAACTCATTCTTCTTCAGCTGAGGAAAGCCTCTCCCCTTCCACACCCTTATTCCCTTTATAGGAAGGTACAAGTAGGTGGAGCTTAAATATAATTTCAGAAGGTGATTAAGGACTTCCCATTTCAATAGAATATTTCTTTAGGCAAAAGGCAATGAATTATATAAATAGAGAGTAAATAACATTGACCCTAACTTCTTTATCCTGTTGTTTTGGGTTTGGACTTTTGTCTAAACATCCCTAGCCTTCTCTAGGCTATAAAGAAATAGTATAGCCACATCTTATACCCAAGTAAACACAGAAAACATTTTGTAAGTATGGTATGTCCCTTCTCTTACGATAGGAAAACAAGTCACGCAGAGATAAAATGACTTGCAAATTGAAGCAAACTAGTTAATAGAGCTTAAGACTACAAAACAGGTCTCCAGCTTCTGCTATATGCTTTAATCACTGTTTACTGCTTTCCTTTGTTGAACTGGGTAATTTCTTTAAGATAGAGAGATGCCTGTTAAATTTGTTTCAAAAATCAACATATTTTAAGTAACTAAACAGTAACGGCACATCAGGTCTGTGTAAGATGGAGATAAAGCAAGTGACGTATTAAAATCAGCATCTATTCAGTACTCTGTGACCTTGCAGTCACATTTTCTGCAATCTTTTTACATTTTTGGTGTTTCACATAAAAACTGAAATTGGCTGAGAGAGCAACTTACGCTTGAAGTTGTCACATATTTTCAGTGCAAGAAAAAAAAAATCAAACTATTTGCCAAGCAGCTCTGTTTAAACGTACTGCAGGATAATTTTAATTTAAAGTTGTTTTCCTCACACTTTAAACCATTCCATTAACCTTACACCAGAGTTGGCTGGTTTTACATCTTTTCCTATGGCCATCATCATACGATCATTCACAGAATAGTTTGGGTTGGAAGGGACATTTAAAGATTATCTAGTCCAATCCCCCTGCCATGGCAAGGACATCTCTCACTAGATAGGTTGCTCAAAGCCCCGTCCAACCTGACTTTGAACACTGTCAATGATGGGGCATCCACAGCTTCTCTGGGCAACCTGTTCCAGTCTCTCACCACCCTCATTGTAAAAAATGTCTTCCTTATGTCCAGTCTAAACCTACCTGCTTTCAGACCATTGCCCTTTGTGCTGTCACTGCGAGCCTGGTAAAAAGTCTCTCTGCATCTTTCTTATAAGCCCCCTCTAAGTATTGAAAGGCTGCAACAAGGTCTCCCCAGAACCTTCTGCTCTCTGGGCTGAACAACCCCAACTCTCTCAGCCTTTCCTCATAAGAGAGGTGTTCCAGCCCTCTCATCATTTTTCTGGCCCTCCTCTGGACCCGCTCCAACATGTCCATGTCTTTCCTGTGCCAGAGACCCCAGAGCTGGACGTAGTACTCCAGGTGGGGTCTCACGAGAGGGGAGTAGAGGGGCAGAATCCCCTCCCTTGACCTGCTGGCCACCCTTCTTGTGATGCAGCCCAGGATACGATTGGCCTTCTGGGCTGCGAGCGCACATTGCTGGCTCATGTCCAATTTTGTGTCCACCAGTATCCCAAAGCCCTTCTCTGCATGGCTGCTCTCAATCCCTTCAACCACCATCCTGTAGTGATATCAGGGATTGCCCCAACCCAGGTGCAGGACCTTGTGCTTGGACTTGCTGAACTTCATGGGGTTTGCACAGGCCCACTCCTTCAGCCTGTCAAGGTCCCTCTGGAAGGCATCCCTTCCCTCTAGTGAATGAACCGCACCACTCAGCTTGGTGTCAGCTGCAAACTTGCTGAGGGTGCACTCAAACCCACTATGTCATTAATGAAAATATTAAATAGTATTGGTCCCAGTATGGACCCTTGAGGGACGCCACTGGTTACTGGTTTCCACTTGGACATTGAGCCATTGACTGTAACTCTTCAGGCACCACCATCCAGCCAGTTCCTTATTCATCGAACAGTTCATCCATCAAATCCATATCTCCTCAATTTAGAGAGAAGGATGTTGTGGGGGACCGTGTCAAAGGCCTTACAGAGGTCCAGATAGACGACTTCAGTTGCTCTTCCCTTGTCTGCTGATGCAGTCACTCCATCATAGAAGACCGCTAGATTAGTCAACCACGATTTGCCATGTTGGCTATCTCTCCTCAGCTCTTCTATATGTTTTGACATGTTTTCCAGGAGGATCTGCTCCGTGATCTTACCAGGCACAGTAAGATCATGGATTATTGTTTAAGAAGTATTTAGCAGGGGGACAGCTGTTTTCTACTTTTTAGTCTGTTGCAAGAAAACAACTAAATACTCTGTAAAATGATAGACTCACTGAAATTATCAAATCTCTGAGGAAATCTCACAGCACACAACCCTTTTTGATCTTGACCATGAAGAAAGAGGGGGAAGCTAGCTGCTACAGGCTGTTCAAAATCCTCAGCTCTGTGAAGAAAAAACTGAAATTGGTCTTGACTGATTGCACAAAGATAATGAATGAGAATTGTGAACACTGAACTATGCCTTGAAAGTTATATTTGAATGTTCTGGCCCTATTGGTCAATAGCCTAGAAGAAGTAAAATCTGAGAAGAAAAGATTTTTGCTTGAAATTTCCGGTTTCAAACAGGACTGAAACAATCACTGGTGTT